ATATGCATGTGTGTGTGTGAATGCATGTGCATTGGATCGCTGTTTAGCTCCTGGATCCTCAGCCAGGGCTGTAATCTCTGGGCTTGGTTGTTTACAGCAGGATCAGCCTGCTCAAAGCGACAGCCTTTCTAAGGCCAAATCCAGCGTGTTTTGTCTGTGCTGGGGGAACATTAAAGCAGCTTTTGCTCTTTGATGGAACCGCCACCTCCTTTGAAGGAGATATCCTGGTTTACGGTTGTGTCTCTGCGGGGCTAGCTCTAGAGCAAGGATTTTGTGGGGGGGTAGCTGTTTGTTTGGTTGGTTGATTTTGTTTCTTTTTTTAAGTAAATGTAAAAATGTGAAGAAATAACTGTCTGTACCAGCCAGCACCATGAAAAGGACCCCAAAAGAGATGAAGCAAGTAAGCCCAAGCAGATGATGGGGTGACATCCAGCCAGCACCGTGGGCAGTCTGAACTGCAGAACGATTCTACTCCACTAGCTCCAACCAGCTGGGGAAATTCAAGACGCACTGAGAGTAAAGACCCCCAGCAAAGCCCTTCTCCCAGCACAGAGGGCTTGGACAGTCCCTGGGACACTCCCAGGTGCAGGAAGGCCCTGCCAAGCCACGCACACGGCTACTGCAAATGCTGAACACAGCCAGGGCTCAGCCTCACGCTCTGCATGCACTGAGATGACAGGGGCTTTGGAGGCAGGGCTCACTGTGAAGGCTGGGGCAGTGGGGAGAGGAGAGCGGGGAGGCATCCGCACGCTGCAGGCTGCGTTCTGAGGTACGGGGTGTTGACGCTGGGAGGATCCAGAAGAGAGCGGCGGTGCTGGCCACTGTGCTGGAAACACAGAGCCGGGGTGGAAAGAGCGCGTGTGACTCTCTAAGGTGTGACAGCCACATCTGACACTCTCCAAGCCCCCTCGGTGCTGCAGCTCTGCAGAGCAAAGGGGGCAGCAAGCTGCTCAGAAACCGCAGCTTTATTTCACACCGGATAAGCCACATGCTGTAGTCGCAACATTTTTATTTTTTTTTCCCCTCCGTTCAAAACAGAAGTTGGCAGATTTGCAATGAAATTTTGAAATCCTTCATAAGACTTTCCATTCCTCCCTTATCATAAGCCCCTTCAGGAGAGATTTTAATGTTAACAGAGGAAAGAATCAGCACGGCCAAAACACACAGTCAAACGTCACAGCCCGAGTTATTGCGGCAGCATCATCTGCGGGGATCGAGAAGCACCTGCTCACCGCCTGCCTCGTTGCTTAGTTGTGGCAATGGAGGTTTGCTCCTTCTGAAGCCTTCAGAGAGATGCCCTCAGCAGCAGAGACAACTGGCCCATGAGAGCACGGTCGCTTTGATGTTCCTCTTGCATCCCCTGGTCATCATGATGTCCCCCAGGCTCCTGGCACCAGGCCGTTTCTGCAAGGACAGGAGGAGAGGTCTATTAGATAGCCCATGCAACCACACTTACATTTCCAAAAAACAAAATGCCCCCCAGGCCAAAACCCACTACTGAATATATTGGAGTCCAACTGGGGTCTGTGTTGGGAAATTGCTCCAGGCTTAAATATCTTCAGCAAGTTGAGAGAAAACTGATCCTGGAGTCGCTTCTCGTCAAGCTTCTTCCAGAGATACTTGTCCTTGCCCATCTGTCTCTTTCCCATGTGGTTTCATCTCCTCTCTTTTCGCTCACATCTTATTCTGCTTAGTTTTTAGCATAAATACATTAAATAGAGACCAGTTTCCTCCCAGCTTCTCCACATTGTGAACCTTGCTGCTTCTCTTTCTCACTGCAGAAAGGACCTGCATGCCTGAAAGTAATCTCTCTTCCAACTCCACCAGTTGCTCTAACAAAAATTACACCTTCACCACCAAATATTGCATCTCTTAGGAAATCAGTGCAAGGTAAATGGCTTATTGATAGATATGGAAGAAAAAAAAATACATTCTATTACCTATCCAACCTGTCTGATCCACTCCCATCTCTCCCACAATGTTCTGTAGAAACAACTGGTTGTCTGAACTGTTTTTTCTGCCTTCGTCATATTGTAACTGCAACGGAAATTGTAATAATGACACCGGCTTTCAGTGGCTTGACTTCTGCTGCTAAAACTGTGAGTCACTGCAGAGCTTCGTCTAGAGGACACACTGCCAAATTAGAGCAGCCTAAAATCAAAGGATGCCTTCAATAATCTCATTAACCACAGAAGGCCAAAAAAAAACCCCATAGCCCCTTCCCCAGCTGGTGTATCATTTAGGAGACAAGAGATGCAGGTGCAGGAGAAAGGTGGTTCCATCTGGTCAGATACGGACACCTCCATGGGAGCAAAACATCCCCAGGTCTCTTTCTGGCCAACAAAGGGCTCCCATGTTGGAAAGAGATGTATGACAGCACACCTACATCTGCACCTCCCCTCCAGGGCACTCTTCTGTGCAGACCTAGAGGGTTGTGTTCCTTAGGAGCTTGTTGTGGGCAGCATAAAGGAATGGCTCCCCCTAATGCCATGGCTTGGCGAGGCCACCTCATCCCACTCAACACAACAGCTTGGCACCTGGAGACTGATTTCGTGATAAAATATATAGTTCATTGGAGAGAAGGCAGAAGGAAAATGTCCCTAGTAAAAATAAATAAATCAAAGGGGCAGTAGCCTTCCCTAGATTATTCTTTATTCTAATTACATAGGTCTTCCACTCTAGGTCTTCACTAAAGCCACCTGAGGACACCCATTCCATCGTACAGGCAGGACAGAGTGTGCTTGGGCAGAGCGAGAATCTAGCTCTGGTAAATACTCCTGGCAGAGACACATCCACATATACCCCAGAAATTAGGTATTTGCCAGCAGGTTTGTGGCCATTCGAACCACATGGAGTAAAGAGAATTGTGGATATTCCTGCTTTGCTCCCTGGGTGTTCTGTGCTTTCTAAACAGCTTTTGCATTTTGCGTTTATGCCACAGGGTTGTAAGAGTGGGGCAAATAGGGCACATTCACCCAAGACTCTTGATGGCAGCCTCTCCAAAAACATGAAAATTCAGTTTTCAGAAGCTAAAAGGCAGTCATGGAGCCAAAGCTCCTTGCCCACACTCTTCCACTAGTAAATGAGGACAGGCTCTTCCAAAAGGCAGTTTATCCCATTTTTGAGATGCGTGAGTTCTAGTCAGGATAAGGAGAATAAACTGCCCCCAGGAAACAGAAGGAGCCCAGGCAATAGCACAGCCTTGGACATGCCTCAGGGTAAGGGATCACTTTCACCCTAAGTCCACGTTTGCTTGATGTGAGTAACAAAACATCTCACTCAGAGGAGAAAAATACAATAGCAGGAAAGCCAGGAAGCACCAAAAGAAGAAAGAAATAACCCAGCAGCGCAGAGCCTCCCTGCTTGGGTGGAAACATTGCCCTGGGGCTGTGCAGCGCGGCGGGAAGTGCAAAGCCCTGCCCGTGTGCAAGTGGCCACCAGGAGACAGCAGCAAGGGCCCCACGTGCCAAGGCGTTGAAGGGTCGATGAGGCAGGGCGGAAGTCACTGTGGCTACAGAAGAAAACCTGAAAATGGTTTGGTTTTTTGTTTTTTGGTTTTTTTTTCAACAACAAGGCACACCACCGGGACATGGAGCTTTCTCGGTGCGCTTCACATCACACACACCAGCTGCCTCGCACAAAACAGGCGCTGTGGAGAAGCTGCAAAGAGCAACTGCAAAGAGAACAACTGAGCAAAGGCACCAGGGGCGCCAACCTACCTGCCAGCAACACCTACTCCTGAGGATTTTAAAAGTGTATGTGTGGATACACGCTGTAAAGGACCTCCGTGGGCTTTCTTGGTGCTTAATAAGATCCAGTAGGCTCTGCTGTCCACACTAGAGAACTTCGGAGTGCACACCATAAGGCAGAAAGATCTCTGGCAAGAAATGCATCCCGGGATCTGCATCCTGGAGATGGAATATTTTTGTGCTTCTTGTGAAGTTGGACCTGATGTAGGTCCCCCAAGAGGCTGAGAAACTGCAATCTACCGTGGTGGTCCCCATGTCAAGCCCAAGTGCTATCAGTATTAATCACTAATGAGGGGATTGAGGTAAAATCCTTAACACTCCTTTAAAAAGAAAATCGACAATCCATGAGCCCAGATATTGGCTTGGAGCTGAATTTCTGCAGAGATCTTTTGTTTCATTCTGCCTCAGAAGCTGAAGATTGCCTCCTCGCTCAGGAGGGTCCTGGTGACATCACATCCTCTCCAAAGAGCCACCAAAGTCAGTGCCGAGAGCTCATCCTCGCGCTGCTGCGGAGGACGGTCCCCGGAGGAGCCCATGGCCCCGTCTCCCTCGCTGCTCCCCCTGCTCAGCCTGGCTCTCTGTGAGTATGGAAGCAGGGCGGGCTATGACCTTGGCCGGGGGAAGCAAGTGGAATGGGAGGCTGAGGTGTTCCCTGGAGTCTGAATCCAGGAGATCAGGCAAGGAAAAAGTAGCAAATGGGGGGAAAACAAAAAGCAGAACGAAAACTAACCGTCAGGTTTGCTTGGTGAACGTGCCAAGTGGAGGTACAAAGAGCTTCTCACCCATCCGCACAGGGCAGTGACTGGTGTGACTCTGGCATCATGTCCCCAGGAAGGGAGCCCAGCCAGACGACTCCTTCTGGAAGGGAGGGCAAAAGGGAGGAAATGGGGATTCCACAAGTCAATATTACTAGGGAGTCACTTCAAATACGTTGGGGAATGGCATTGTCATGGAGAAGGCACCTGAGAGGCTTCTCTGAATGGGAGGACCTGTCTTTAAAGACTCAATGGGCAACTGCCGAGCCTTCTCTAAGCCTGATCTCAGCAAGGATCTGAGGGAAATATTTAAGCCAGAAGGAGCGATGCTCCCCTTGCACCTCACAATCCATGTTTCTCCGCAGCTCTAACCAGCAGGGAAAAAGGCTTTCCCAAAGACTAAGCTCCAGGGAACAGCCTCTGGGGTTTGTCCAGGAGGGAGACCGCTTTCTCCAAGCACTTTTGCCAAGGGCGAGCAGGCTGTGAACGGGGACGGGATTTCCCTCTCTCCGCAGGTTGCTGTGGGATCCAGGGCCAAAGGGGCATGTTTGCAGTCAAGTTTCGGGACAGCAGGATCACACAGCCCCTGCGGGGGCAGCGGCTGGAGCTGGAATGTCGGCCTGTGGACAGCGATGTCGGGGTTTCCTGGATCAAGCAGGACCCGGGTGGCACCCTTCACTTCATAGCGTTCATTAACACCCTGTCTCGAGTGACCTACAAGCAGAGCGAATCCACATCTACCCGCTTCGAGGCAGCGAAGGAGAGCGGCTCCTCCCGGCTGGTCGTGAAGTCTTTCTCTGAGCAGGACCAGGGGACTTACTTCTGCCTCATCAACAGGAACCAAATGCTGCACTTCAGCGCTGGCCAAGCTGCCTTCCTCCCAGGTCAGCAACATCTCTGGCCACTTCTGTTTGCTCTGCCCACCCCCCTGCACCCCATCCCATCCCATCCCTCTTTTAATCAGGAGCACTTCCCCATCCCTGCGGCTAGGCCCAGCACAACTCGCAGTCCATGCACTGCTCCTTCTCCCAGAGGCCTCCTGCTCAGCTGCTCCTCAGGAGAGCAGCCCTGGGCTGCGTCCCCTTGTCACCCTCACCAGCTCCCCATAACATCGGGGTTTTGGAACCCCCACCTCGGGGCTGAGGGCTGCACAGCCTGTGCTTCACCACATGTCCAGCTCCTCTGTTTTCTCCCACAGTCCCCACCACGAAGGCCCCCACCACAGCTCCAGCCACCACCGGGAACAAGGTCACCCCGACAGAGACCTGCACGAAGACCCCAGCACCAGGTACCGTACAGAGCCCACACGTGGGGCATCCCACCTACACCTTTCCAGGCCACGGTTTGGGGCTGAGGAGCCAACTGCCAACCCCTGCTGACTAAATCTGGGGAATGGGGCAGACGGGGAAGATAATTCACCAGAACTGGCTCCATGGAACATGCAGGTACCCATCTGGCTCGGGGTCCCAGGAACGGGGCATGAGACACAGGCTGGGCGTGGGGACCCTTCTGGTGTCCACCCTCCATCTGTGGGACGGGGAACCCTCTGCTTCCCCAACAGATAACGCCAGCCCGGCTGAGACCCTCGGCCGGGGCCTCGCACGGGCCGCAGCGCCCATCGCCCGGCGTCTCCTCTTCCCTCTCTCTCACTCCTGCAGAGACAAGCAAGGGGCTGGACTTCACCTGCAGCATTTTCGTCTGGATCCCCTTGGCCTGCGGCTGCCTGATTTTCCTCATTGCCCTGGTGATCACCATCTCGCTGTGCCAAAGTAAGGGATCGCGTTAACCACCGCGCCGCGGCTTGTCCCCTCGCATGAAAACCCATCCTTTGGGCAGCAGATACTCTGCAGCCATTCCCCTTAGCACTTCCTGTGGGAAGCAGGACACAGGGAAGGGTGGACCGTTCTTAGAGACGGCTTCCGTGTTCTCCGGGTCTCCAGATTTAGCCTAAGAAATATCCGTGAGCTTCTACATTATAGGACAACAGGTTGGAGAACATTTACTCCATCAAACTACATAGGTTCCACCGTCATCAGTGCTTCAAGGACAGATGTAGCAGGACCCAAAACTCTTTGATTAACTAGAATATAGTGGCTTCAGCACAGGACTTGCGAACTCAAGTGCCAGGACTCCTCCTGGCAGCTTGGGCTATAGCCAAAATTGCAACTTTATTGCATAGCTCCGGAGCCTGGCGGAGGCAAAGCAGTTAGGTAAAACCTCCAGGAACACAAAAGCTGTTGGTGTTCATGCCCAAAACGTCTCTGTTTGCCTGAACAAGCAGTGAGTGAGGTTATATTTCAATCAATATAATACTCACTAAAGTCTGTTTTCTTTAAAAGGGAAGTGCCCAGCTACACCAGAAACTCTACCAATTGCATTAATCTTTTCCATTTAATTTCTTCAGCTCACTTGTGTGCAAACGCTTTACCACTGAATTAATGTAACGTGGTGCCGTGAGGCAATTCAGCAGCCCTGAGAAACGCTGCTCAAGCCCATGGCTGTAGGAAGGAGCATGTGTTTTTGCCTCCTCACACGGCCTTGGATCCTCAGAGAAAAAGCCATTTGCTGCAATTGCTTTCTGTGGCAAAGCCACGAGGACGAATTTCTCCCCTGAGACAGGGGCTATTTCTTTTCTGCTCAAATAAACGGCCAACATTATAGCTCGCTGAGTGCATCCTGCAGAAACAGCACGGATGCTGCCACAGGGAAGAACGTCCATCAGGACAGCAGGATCCAGCTCCGCCAAAGCGCGTGCCCCCCACGCACGCCGGCCACGAGCAGGGCCCTGTCTGGCCGTATCCCACCGCGCGTCTGCAAGGGCAGGGAGCAGGGAGCAGAGGGCGGCCGCGGCTCCAGCTCGTGGTGCTGCCCAGGCTCAGCTGGGTGCCCAGAGCTGCTCTGAACTGAAACACTTCCCTTTCCATTTCAGAAACCAAGAGGCGGCGATGCAAGTGCAAAAGGTTAGTGACAGCTGCTGGCCACTTCCCCCTTGAACTCAAGAGCGTCTTGCACCGAAGTGCTCAAGCGAGCAGGTGCCAGAGAAAACAAAGAAAACCTCTCAAAAACCCTCCGTCTGATGTGAGATGGAGGGAGGGAGGGAACCCTGCAGTTGGGGAACGCGGGGGAGATGGTTCTTTGTGCATCTTTGTGCAGTTGCAAGCACCCGGGTCGTGCGCTTTTCCGACCGCCGCTATCTCCGAGCAGGGACACAGCGCCCTGGTCCCCATCCAGCTCCGCTCCGTGGGGCTGAGCCCCACGTGCAGCCCGAGGGAGGGCTGCAGCAGCCGCGAGGGGCTCGGAAACCAGCTGTTTTTAGAGGTTTTAGCAATCTCAGCCCAAAATTCATATTCTGCTTCATCCATCCCTTAGGCTGGGCTACTGCAGAACAACATCTGGCTACCGGCATTGCTCTAACGTGCACCAAGGCCGGGGCAGGTGGTTATTGCCTTCCTCTCCTTCCCCCAACTGTCCCCTTCAGCTCCCCCCCAACTGTCCCCTTCAGCTCCCCTGCATCAGGTTACGTCCATGGACTCAATATAAACTGTCCTGCCACCCCCAGAAGCCCCTTCTGCACAGGCCTGGACCATCCCATGGTTTTAGACCTGGATTTCCACCTCTATTCCCGCTGTGGGCACTAAGTGACAGGACCTCTTGCTTACAAGGTTCGAGAGGCTGTTTTGGCCTCAGATTTTCCCCAAAAATAGTAAAGCAGACATGGATGGCTCTGGAATTAACAATTTTCAGGGCAGACAGGAATCCTGTTTTCCTGCTTTCCCCTCTCCCCGGTCCAGTCTTTCTGCATCACCAGGAAAATACTATGGGAATAGGGGCAATTTTTTCCATTTCTGGTCCCCTCCGGCCCCTGTTTCTTGCCAGGCCGTGGAAAACCTCCGTGCACACTCGCGAGCCCTGTGCACAGAGCACAGCTATTTTCACACCTCCGTTCCGATTCCTCACTGCAGTTGTACCAGTTTTCCCAGCACAAAGTGACTAATGCCTCGTGTATCTAAATACAAACCACGCAGGAAGCTGCATTTGGCAGCTCTCGAGAGGCCAGGGCTGCCGAGCAAGGCAGGAGCCGATGGGCGGCGATGCAGTAACATCCTCCTGCTCATCTCAGGTGGGAATAAATCAGAAATATTTTTCTTTTCAGGCCTGAAAAGGGGAAGCCCAACGTGAGGCCTTGTCCGCCAAAGCCACGAACATGAGCGACTCCACCTTTCTGCTTCCAGAGTGTCTGCATGGAGATGCCACCACGCGCGGCCGCGCTGCATCCGTGCTAACGCGATGACACGCGCGGGCTGGACCTTGCTCGAGGACGTGCAACGATGCTTTCTCAAATGCAGCAAAAAGTTGAATTTCCCACAAGAAATACTGCCATGTGGAAATAAAGGGAAAATCTGGAAATGGAAAATAACTTGGAAAATCTGCCGCTTGGAAATAAAAGCCCTCCCTGAACCCATCTCACCTCCGTGGGGCCATGCATCTCCTAGATGTTTCTCTCTCTCATCTAACACAATTCAGTGCTGCACTAAGAAGGTAAATACTGATTAAAAGGCTTTACTTTGGTTACAGTCCAGGACCCTGAAGTTTAACCACTTCCCTCTTGCTGCCCTCATTCAGCTGCTATTCCCAATTCCGCTTGTTCTGGCGGGAGCTTTCCATGAGCAAGGAATGGGGAGTTTCTTCCAGATGCGATGGTTGAGCAGCAGAAAAGTCTCTGCCGCTTGTTTTGGTTAAGAGGAATTTTTCATGCCGGCTTGGGGCGAGCTGACAGGACAAAATGAGTTTTGTGGGGTGTTTTTTAGCTCTGTATTTAATGTAAACACCTATTCCCTTTGCAGACCAAGAACTGAGAAAAAAATAAACCAATATTGCCAATTAATACTACTCGTATCTCTTACATTCTTCATCTCCCAGCCTCAGGAAAGGTAAAAACCTACACCAAGAATATAAATGATGGTTAGAGGGAGACTTGGATAAGGGAAGAGTTCAGGGCTCAGCTTCCAGTTTATGCCAGCCTAAAATCATCTCTTTAAAACTCGTGTGCTCAGGGCCCAGTGAAACTTAAATCCCCCTGCGTGGGACAAGAAAACTAAACAAAATTCTCTGGAGATGCGCAGATATTCTGGCCCAGAGGCTGGTAGTGTCACGTTCCCACAGGAAATGCCTCACCGGAACCGTCACTGTCACAAAAATCCAAACCTTGCTATTGTGCAATGGGAGCTGTTGAATTTCCTGTTCGAATGTGGGGCTCCAACTTACAGCGCCTAGAGAAGACCCCATGAGCAAAGCACTGCAAGCCCCCGGGGTCACAGAACGGTGGAGGCTGGAAGGGACCTCCAGGGATCATCTAGTCCAACCCCTGCTCAGGCGGGGGCACCTCGAGCACTGGGCACAGGGTCAGCACAATTACTGCACTCAGTTAGCCGAGGCAAGGAAGGGAGGTACTAGCTAGAAGACAAGGTCAGCGTGACTTGGGTTGCTCTGGGAACGATGGAAGGGCAGCCCGCACCGTTACGGAGCCTCGGGAAGCACCGAGGCTGCAGAGGACTTGGGGGCGGCAGGGAGGGTCCTACCCCACGGGGAAGACAGGCCCGAAACCCGCCTGGATGCCACCCTGTGCCACGAGTTCTGGGTGTCCCTGCTGGAGCAGGGGGGTTGGACCGGGTGATCTCTGAAGGTCCCTTCCACCCTCGACCATTCTGGGATTCTATGAAGGCTGTTGGTGTGCTAAAGAATAGCTGCTGATTCAGTGACTCTGTGCTAAATAAAGCATGAATAAAGGTTTAAATATTTACAGATATGAAACACCCTGACATTAGAAAGTAAGAAATCCTGCTAGCTGAAGTGACTAGAATAGCTTCTTTCTCCCATATCCCTCTCTGCAGTCAAACAACAGACACTTCACTCAACTCTAAGGTCTGTAAGCCCAGAACAGAAAGTCCAAGCAGCTCATGTGGTAACGGGTGGAAAGCTCAAGCTTCACAGCCGACTCATCCCGTGAACCACACTACCTGCTGCAAACACCATCTCCACCACAAAGGCTAAGGCCAGTCCATAGAAGGGAGGCTTAACCCAACTTGTGAAGACTCTTACCACGGCACCACCTCTCCTAGCACTCGTCCTCTTGACAGCAGAGCTCAGGCTGCAGGCACTGCCTCCTTGGTCAATGGAGAGAGGTTCCTCCATGGGGCAAATCCTCCCGCCCTCGGGCAGCTGAGGGGGCTGTGTTTTTATCGGGTATTACGAGCAAGCACGAGCATACGAAGGAATGACCTTTGAAAGCATTTCCATCTCACTGCCCACAGACTCTCCATGGGATATTAAAGCACACGCATGGACTGCTGTCCATCCTAGGATATAGGATACCTACCGGGAACCTGTTCAGCTGCCTGGTCTTCCCTTTCCTCATGGATATTTCTGCCTGTGAAGCACTGTAATTGAAATGATGTATTTATAAGCAAACCAAATCAGTACCAATTTACCCTTAATACTCCATAATGTGAACTGCTGGGATTCAGCATGTGCTCTCAAAACAGCAAAATGGTGTTTGCAGAAGAGCACAAGCCTGAGAGGAGCAGAAGAGCCACCTGGAGCAAGAATGAAGGCAGATGTGTCAGAACAAGCAGTTGTTCTCCTTAGTCACAGCCCTATTTCATGCTAACACTCCAAAAATGCGGGACACACCTCACGGATGTGTCTGCTACTGAGAAGCTGGCTTTAAATGAGTAGGCTATTGACACCAAGGAACCCTGGTTCCCCAAAGCAACACTTGGCTTCCCCCACCAGTTCTTCCCTCTGTGCAGCCCCACAACTGCAACCCGCATTCGGGAGATGAATAATAAATTCAGGTGGGTTGGAGTCAGCACTGTGTCCACCTACTCTGATTTAAACCTACGGCTCTAAAAGAGCTGCTAGCTGGCTAACTGAAGTGTAGAGATGAGTAATAAACCTTCTTTATCATCAGCCTAGTAAGATTTTCTTCACGAGAACAACACTTACCTTTGCACCCCTGCTGCTGCTCAGCTACAGGGTGGAAGACAAAAACCAGACTGCATCTTTTGTGCTGAAATTGTAATAACAGGACCTAAGTGTCAGCCCTGGCGCTGCGAGCCGCGAGCTGCAGAGGGGGCGGTTCGAGCTGCCCCCTGCTCGAGGCACGGAGAGGCCTCCGGCAACGCGAGCGGCCCGAGAGCGGCCTGCGGTCAAG